TACGATAGACAATAACAGCACTGGCCGCTTCCAAATGTAGGTCAATTAGACCGTCAAAAACCGAGAGATCCTCCTCACTTCCACGAATTTTTCAATAGTTTTTTAACAGGATTCACTTAAGGGAGTATTGATTATTATCGCTAAGCTGTTCAATTGTGACACATCGAAAAAGATCTCGATTTTGGCAACATAGATGAAGTACAGTCAACTCTCCACAACTCGATGTCCACTTTCTCGATATCGAGTTATATAACCATAGTAAAAATGAGTGTCATGGCTACTGCGATAGCGAATTTGTATGAGATTGTTATTCTATAACTCGAGTTGCATAGAAGGCACTTTAGTTTCGTTTCCAAAAACGAGATCTGTCTATACTGATATTACATTACATTAGGAAAGTTTGGAATCACTTTGGAAAAGTTAAGAATCCCTTCAGAAAGTACTGAATAACTTGAGAAAAGCTAAGGATCACTTTGGAAAGTACTGGACCATGTCAGAAAATAATAGCACGTTCAGAATAACTTCAAACAGTACCGAACTTTACAAAAGTTTTAAGTCACTTCGGAAAATTGGAAACACTGGATTCGTGTATTCAGCTCATAACCTGGGTCTGGCGAAGTCGAATCGCAGCCAGCTTCAGATACTATCCAAGACGCATTGGAGCAAGCTTTACTCTGTTCGAACGGTTGTCAAATTTATAAACAAAGCAAATTTGTGCAAGATTGTGAGTGACTCTCTTGAAATATCGATTGGTAGTTGTAGTCTGTTGTAGTTCGTTGTTATTGTCGGTCGCGTTTGACACCGGAAAACCCCACATCCGACTTTCGATTTTACTCTCGTTCTGTACAACAACAAAGCATCGGACATGGTGTGCATTGTGGCGCATCATTGTACAAATACAGCGCACTATGTCCGACGTTATGTTTTATGTACAGATTGAGAGTAAAATCGATTGGCGCGTGTCGAATTTTCTGGTTTTCTACTGTATCAATAATATTTAGTTTTCATAAAAGTTCCTAAGCAGTTAAAATGCGATGTTACGCAAAGTTTTCCAGCAGTGTTCACTCGGCTGTCGACAAAAGCAGGCCACTCTCGATGTGTGCTACGCGATCGTCTGTTTTCTCGGCAGCAACCATTGTGTGGTCCTCCTCATTGTTCTTCATCAGCAGTTCTTTCGGTCGATGCGTCGTCGATTTTGGAAAGCAACCGTTTCGTGATGAGTGTGTGAGTGCTGACCACGTTTTGCGTCCATTGTTGCAATGGACGCGCTCTGACCCTCGTTGGCGTACAACAATTTGCCATACAATGAAACTACTGGAAGCGGCTCCAGTTCTGATGGAGGAGGCTTTTTGGATAGCGGAAGATAAAGTGTTTATTGTGTTGTACCTTTTGACTATAGTTTTAAGATGTATTGTAAAGTGACCAAGAATCCTCGGCTCTGTAAAGTTAATTCGGTTGAGCCTTATCAAATAAATTAATAAACAAAGTTTTCCAGCTACACTGCAAGTGAACCGGTGAAGAGAAGTTTTCCGAAGGATCGTTTCTTGCGCCGCGCGTGGTTGATTTTTTGCGAGATTGATCCGGAAACCTCAGTTCATCAAAACTTTGAATATGTTTCCAAAAATAATAACAACTACGTTTTACTCAGATTACAATACTCCCTATCTGTTTCTTCCATATAAGCTCTTATAAGAACAGTAAAAAATGGTTCGATTTTGACAGTTCAAATTGGTTCGAAATCCATTACGAGTCCGCCAGACCCAGCTCATAACATATTTAATAACTTCAGAAAAGCTTGAGTTCAGTAGGGCAAATGTTGAATCGCTCAAAGATAGACTCACTTCCGAAAGTGTTAAATTTTCTGGACTGATTTAATACTTTCGGCAGTAATGTCACGAGTTCTTACGATCGTCTAAAACAAGAACCTGCTATAAACGTAAAAACGTGGCACTGAAACAGAAAACGTATTGCCCACTTATTAAGGTTTCCAAAGGTAACATCAGTTGTAACAATACAAACATCTCTGGTTCTTATTTCAAAGATTTGCATAGCGACGATTGCATTATTGCCACGCACACATGCTCGAGGAGTTTGACATTCCACTTTTAGGTTCACGCAAAGGCTAGGTTCACGAGGATTCCTAGATAAAATTTTCCTTTACGAAAGTAAGATTTCTTGTGCGAGAGCCACATGGGATGTGCCATTTGTATTATTCTACATATATTTTAATTTTTTTTTGTAATTACTTTATTTGTACAGGCTCAATCGAATAAACTTTACAGAGCCGAGTTATCCTTTGCGTTATACATTATTACTGTCTTATATTTAAAGTTAAAGGAACTGGACCGAGTACTCGCGGTCGTCTCGAAGTTAGTGGAGATTTACAATTTTTTGGATGGGAAAAGGGAAGAAGGAGGTTTTAAATGTGGTTTAGGATACAACTATTTAATTAATCCTAAAGCATGAAATTATTTCTATTCATCTTGAAAACAAACATTGAAAAAAAAAAACCCCAGACAAACTAAACACAAGGTTAATAAAACTTACAATCTAAGGTTAATATCCTCAAAGTAAACATATATGAGTTTCATAAACTCCAGATCGCGTCTAGCCAAAATATCCCGAACTGGAACATTAGGTTGTCTACCTCGAGCCCGAAGGGAATCATAAAAATGTGATCTGACTCCACGATACTCCGCACAAGACCAAAGGATGTGATCAGCGTCCTGGTAACCTTGTCCACATTCACAGAGATTGCTGTCTCCCAAACCCACACGGAACAAGTGAGCGTTTAGACAATAGTGAGTGGACATGAGACGAGACATTACGCGTATGAAGTCTCGACTCAAGTCCAACCCTTTGAACCATGCAAACTTCGACACCTTAGGGATAATTGAATGTAGCCATCGTCCCAAGCTCCCTTCACTCCATTGATGTTGCCAGCTAACGAGCGACTGCTGACGATAAATAGAGAAAATTCACTATGGGCGATCTGTCGATCATAAATGTCGCCTTCCATAGCGCCCACCTTCGCAAGTGAATCCGCCTTCTCATTTCCCAAAATTGAGCAATGCGAAGGGACCCACGCGAAGGTGATGATGAAAGAGCGCACGGATAAAGCACTAAGCAGTTCTCGTATTTTCAAGAGAAAATACGAGAAGTGCTTTACCGGCCTAATGGAACGGATAGCCTCGACAGAACTGAGACTATCCGTAAAAATAAAGTAGTGGTCTGGAAGAAGTGAAGCAATAGTTTCCAAAGTGTAGTGAATTGCTGCCAGTTCAGCCACATACACAGAACAAGGAGCTTCAAGTTTTCGAGAGGAGCTATGAAATTCATTAAATACACCAAAACCAGCGGACTCCTCTATTAGAGATCCACCTATATATATTTTTATGGTTGCTGTTCTTTTATGCTGGCGATTGATTTATGCTATCTTAACAGCAGTCATAATTTATAACTACTCAAGATATCACAAATCCACCACCTTCAGCATAAATTGAACAGCAACATAGAAACCAAATTGGTAATGATTTTTAAAACGCCAGAGGTGTTCTGAGTAAAACGTATAAAGCGAATCCATATTTTGTATCTTTTTTTTGATTTTAACTATCATCATATCGATAATCTTCCCCTTAATTAGCGTAGTACTTGTGACTTACGAAGGAGGCCTCGGAGAAACAAAAGTCCATTGCGCCATTGCTTCGGTTAGCGCAGTAAAGGCTTCTTACTACGGAGGTTTTGATTTGATAACATACTGGTAGTTTTGAAAACTTTGTTTTGCTCACGAATGTTAAGGAAAATTTTAAAAATTGATCAAGGTTTTTCTTGAAATTATGAGAAATTCAAGTAATATAGATATGAGATAAATAAGAAAACACAAATTATGGTGCTTGGAAAATGTTTACGGAACTTTCGGAAACTTATCATAATTTCAAGAAGAAAGGATGAAAGGACTTCACCACCTGTACAGTACGGTGCTGCTCGATAAAGTCCAAATGTTTTGCAACGTACTATATAAACTAGATAATACACTATGTGAAACAACGCCATCAAAGTCGGGGGCGGATCCATCGTTATTTTAGGCAGACTTATATTTTAAGGGCGCTGGTCAATACTGGGTGCGACTACTTAGCTCAAATTTTAGGAACACAGCACTCGTCGTCAACGCGAATGGTTTCACCAATACAAAACAAAGTTATCAAATAAAATTCGTAGGCCATAATTAGGAACACGCATCAAAATCACGTTCCTATTTCTCTGTCCATAGTTATAAACCGCTAAAAGCGTTAATTATTCTAAATTTGCAGTTAGAGTGAAAAGTGTGATATTGATTTATTAGGCTAGCAGGTTATACAAAGGTAAGTCCTTTGTGTGGTGTTCATCAAAAAAACCTGATAATTTCATGAATTCATGAAATTATAAGGTATTTTGATGACCACTACTGTGTAGATTGCCGTTAGTGCAATAATACGGCAAGATCATTTGGCCTGGAAATCGATAAATTTGAAAATTTCACTGAAATTGTTGTTTGAAAAAGAGCAATAAATGTTCTAAATTGGTCCCAGAAATAGGCGAAATTGGAACCATATTCGGTGTAACTTGTTTAAAAGAATCAGAAAAAAATCATTGAAAAATATGATGGTATTGACATTTGCATACTCATCAAATGAGCATAAAATTGAAAAAAATCAATCACGTTAAACAGATTTAAGGACAGTCACCTTTTTCTAACTCAATGGGTATTCAGGCAAGTTTGACCTCTTTCCATACAAATTTCCAAAATTTACCTCTGTAGTTTGATGATCCCTTCAACATTGAGCTAGGGAGAGTTGACTTTTGCATTCGAAATAACACACTTTCAATCCCATATCGTGTTTTTATCCACCACGCAAATCACTCTGTTAGAATCCGAATTGACCACGTGATAAGAATCTGTTCTCGGCTCTAAAATTTGCCAAATAACTTCTCTAATAACTACAGCTATAACGATTACTCACCTTTCCAGAGGGTGCTTCCGTCGGTCGAATACATGCCGCAAACCTTCGATGCTGAGCAGGGTCAGTAACTTTTGGCGGAACGTTTCACTATCGACTGGATCTCTGTCGGAGTTTTGCCACCGTATGGTTTCTATTACCGAATCGGTTCGCTTGAGCTGCTGCAGATGACGATTTTTGGCAGCAATTGCCAACCGAGTAAATTTGCTCGCATCCATGTGGAACACCAGCGAGCGAACGGAACTAGACTTTCTGATCGGTTGATGCTTCTCGATCCCGGGACAGACAAACTTAAGGCAAGGAAAACTTTTACCATCGAACTCCAACAATGCGTGCCTGTCGGGCGATGAATGATCAAAGGATTCCATTAAGATTTGAATAACCTTTGTTGCTGGTGATAAGTCAAATGGAAGGATAATTAACTTCGTCGTAGTGCGGCTATCAAGATTTTCGGATGAATGGTGGGTAGCCAGTTTTATTTCCAGCTGTAAATCGTAGATTTCATCAGGGAGTTGTGATCAGAACAAATAGCCGGTGATATTCATCAGAAAGTCTTTTTTTATTACAGTTCAATAAATGATACATTAGTTATCAAGATATACAGGTTAATGGTATGCACGTTTAATAAACCCCTACGATATATATATATATTCGAGTTGTATCATAATCTTTCTTCTAATGTTACATAAAATATAGTAAATGTACAAATGTGTTTATTGGTTGAACAACTAAATTGTTCCTACAGGATTCGCTTAATCGAAACAGTTTTACCTCATAGTAATAACGCTGCATAAATTGTGTTTCATTTTCTATGAGTTGGAAAATATGCATACATTTCTGAAATTACTCCACAGGTGTAATTTCTGGTTTGGTTTGGCTTCCGTGGATTTGACAAATGGTAAAATTATTATCGCATCGAATAAGGCTCTAGAAAAATGGTGATGTTTTTCTCTTATCAAATATGGTCCTCGATGTGTATGTGTGTATGTACGTCATTTCAGTGAGCTTTGCTGTGTTAGTTTTAAGGAAGAGTATTGGAACTAACTGATCAAGTAGGGGAACAACTAGAGATAGCAACAGTGGTAGGTTTAGACAACTATGGTAATTAGTTAGAGTAAAGAGTAAGACGAAGAAAGTTGCTGAGAGGATATGGTGAAAACTTGAGAAAGGTGGAAATAACACATTTCGATAGGTGCAATCACATATAATGGTCTCTTTCGTTCCGTAAGTACTTTTCCAGTATGCAATGGTGTTTCATTAGGTTTACTCTAATTTTAGACTCCAAGAGTAGTAAGGCGTGATAACAGTGGTTAGTCCCTTAGTATGGAAAAGGGCATGCAGTTTAGTTTACAGCATTTACTCTTTCATATTCTTATAAAAGTGAACTATTATATCAAAACGGTCATCTACTTACAATTACGATTAGTTTATTTGTGTAAGTTAGTCTGGTACATTGGTATAAAACCTGTGGAACTATTGATAGGTGAATTCCATTCTATTCGGTTTTAAATACATCTTGAAAAACATCTCAAAATAGGATACATTGATATTGAATTGGGTGATTGGTGATTGATTACAATTACTGATGGTTTTGTTTGTATCAATACCGATAATGTACCATCGTTATACATTTCACTTTCAAACTTTTTCTACTTCTGATGGAGGGAATCTAGAACAAGACACGAAATGGTCCCGTTTATTTGGTTGTTGTATTTGTCTTTTTGTTCATTTTCTTTTAACTGACGTTCTCATTTTGCATTATTTTCATGATTTTGACCTTTTTTTTTTAAGTCGAAGCTTTATCGTTGTTTTGGTTTTTTTTCTGTGTGAATATTTAAAAAATGCTGCTGCAGCTGGGCTTAGGCTATTCTTTTCAAGTTGGACACTCTGCGTCGTAGTGAGGGAGTGGTAAAATCGGAGCCCGGCCAAGCGCATTAAGCCAATGGGATGAATTTGGATACTTAGCCCCTGTTGCAAAATCGAAACCAATTATAGCTTTTTGAAATTTTTCTGATAACAAATCAAAGGGATTCTGAATCGGTGGAAGGTTCCAAAGGAGTTATTAGCTCAAGGAGAATAACAAAGAACTTTTGGGAGCATTCCTGAGGAGAATGTATACGAATGTCTGGAAGCTTTGCAAGAATTCCAAATGAATTGTAGAAGATTACAGGGTTGGCCCAAATAAGTAAAGCATAAATAAAAAGTCATAACTCTATGTTTTTTCTTACTGACATATTGAAGTATAACAGCGATTCCGGATGTGTCCAAGTTCAATGCAGGGAAGCTCGCCGAAGCCGCAGTTCTCAAGCAGCACTTCAAAAACACCATCGGGTCTGTGCTGGAACTCTGTTGGTTCAAGTCTCACCAGTGCTCGGATTGCAGCCGATATGGCCACAAGGAGGGTTATTGTGCGAGTTTGAAGAAACCTGGTCCGCGTTGACAGTTCAAGTGAAAGTCTCAGAACATCGGTTGATGTGAAAAATTAAATGGCTAATGTGCAATATAAATGAGAAGTTGTCTAATGTGCATGATGAATCTGAAACCGAGCGCAGCAACCAGTGTGTATTTACTAGAGATTTTTTCAGAAGATCAACTGTAATGGTCTTGCAGCCTAGTCGTTAAAGGTGTGATTTTAGTAATCATGTGGTTCATAATTCTAATCCCGTTTTTTAATTGATTTTTTTTAGCACAGGTTTTTGATATGCAAATAATTTTGCTCAACTAAAGGGTGTCCCACATCAAACTGGATCACGGAAAAAACGCTGTAGAAAATTACATAGTTCAACATCTGGCTGCAGCTTCTTCTGTACGGAAACCCACTTTTTCTTCATGTCTTCCTTAGATTTGACCTCCTTGGGATGCTTCCGTAGTGTCTGCTTCATAATAGCCCAGTGTTTTTCGATGGACATTAGTTCCGCTGCGTTGGGAGGGATTCATGTCCTTGGGTACGAAAGTGACCTCGTTGGCTTCGTACCACTCCAGGACAACATTTGAATAGTGGCACGAAGCTAGATCCGGCCAGAAGATCGTAGGGCCCTCGTGTTGCTTCAACAGAAGAAGCAGACGCTTCTGTACACTGAACGAATTTGACATATTCCTGTTATGTGGAAGTCTAATAAATTTGCGCTATAAGATAATCCATTGAAAATGATATGATTGAAAATGTGTCAGGTAAATTCTATATGAATATCTGATACATTTACAATGCTGATAATTTGGTAACTTTTATATGATCGTCATATGATAAATGAAAATCGATTAAATTATAATAATTAACTGAAATGGATTTGAAACCCATAAGCATAAGCTATACTTTTCACCACAATATAATATATGTGTCATAAATCAATCGAAGTAAAGTTTATGTGAAAATAACATGAAATTTACTTCTTCTTTTGACACATATATTTAATCGATTTCTAAAAATAAATTCGAAAAATAAACATCAGGCAGTGGGAGCTTTCACAGTTGTGCCTTTTTTTATTGTAGCTGATTTGGGATTCGATCAAGATCTGTTGAGGTGTGATGCTTTCGGTGTCTGTGCTCGATTCCACTGGGCCACGGCTGACTTCAAGATTGAGCTCGTTCAAATAGCATGAAGTAAGAACAGCTCTCCCGACATGGAATGTAGTGAAACTTTATGCTCGTTTTACTAGAGTGAAGACAAATAGCACTGACAAATTTATGTTCCGTTTCGGTGGTGTGGTTTGTTCAAATCTTTCTTAATGCACCTGTGTGCAATAAATCAACGACTAAATTATATGATTTGATAGAACTGGCTCATGAAGTTCGAGTACTACTTAGGGCTGGAATCTGAATTAGCCGTGTAGAAGGCTTACAATTAGAATCATAGCAAAGTAAATATTACAGTAGAATCATTTTTTTTTTCAATCTCAATACATTCTTTTCTGGAACCAATTATCATATGAATGAGTGTACGTTAACATCGTTGAAAATTGTTTCAATAATTTATAAAGAACAATCATGTAAGATGTATTTTATTGGGAGCGATATTCATCCCAGAAAAACATGCAAAAACAAATGCTTGCTGTTGGATTTCTTAAAAGGCATTTCTATATGACTATTTAATGATTGGGATAGATCTGTTTACAATCTTTAAACGTCAAAAATCAAAGCAAGCTATTACAATGAGATATACATGTTTTCCTATACTGCAAAGTTAAATGACAGTCCAATAGTTTCTACATGTCTATTTACACGCGACATATCAACAAACGTCAAAAATCAGTAAAAGCAACTCCAATAAAATGTACATGATTATCTTATAAGATATATATTTTAGTGAGCAATATTCATCATGAAAACAGGTATATTTTACAGAATTTTCTCATAGTGCAAACTTATATGATTTTCCATTAGTTTCTAGATGTCTGTTCCCACCCATGACATATCAACAGTTTTTCACCATGAAATATATCAGACAATATTCATATACTTCTTACCTTCGCTAACCACGTTCGAAGCAAAGTATTATCAAGTACTAAGTATGTGAAATTACGATAGAAATCATTCCATATCGCAGTCATAGTTTTTAAGTGATAATCCAATGGAATCTATCAATCATCACATAGAATGAATAAATCTGCTGACATTGCTATGTTATAAGATGGATCCAATAAACGGTACATGTCGATTTGTTTCAGTGTAGACACTCCTTGTGGTAGATCTCCCCGTTTACAATTCCGGTAGTCACGAACGGCGCATTTCGTTTGCCACATGAGCAGATCGCTTGCCAAATCATGTATTTCTTGGCAAACTTTGAAATTTTCTGCTTCCTCCGGAACATCAAACTTGTGCTGGGCGGTGCTAGCCTCGGAAGCTGGCGGAAGTCCGCCTTGACGTAAGTCTCATCATCCATAATGAGACAATGAGGCTTCGTCAGCATCTGGGTGTACTTATGGCTTATACTATGTAACAGAGTTTGTCTTGCAATGAGCACTCATACATCTAGTTTTCATTGGAAATCCTATGTATGAGTGCTCATTGCAAGACAGCCTATTTTACATGATATAAGCCATAGTCTGTACGGGGTATTAGCCAAAAGATCTTACCGTTTGTCAGATCTCTCTAGCTTTGTAAATGAAGATATGGCTACTATTTGTTTGTCTATTTGTTTTCCAGTTTTCATTCAACGGCATGATATCGGCATAGGGGAAGAATATTATGCACACTTTAAAAAGTTGAAATTATCTGGTAAAAGTTACTGTTCCGACAAAATCGTTAAAGTAGCATTAGATATAGCTTTTATGTGCAAGGAAATTAGCCAATGGGCAGAATTGGACACGGATTCGGACATTAGTGTAATTTCTGTGGACACTTGGAAACGACCACCGTTCGACCACCGTCACTGAAAGCTAGAGCAGCGGCTGGAGATAAACTCATGCTAGTGTCAGCGGCTGGAGATAAACTCAAGCTAGTGTCAGAATTTGGTTTTTAGTGACAGTAAACAATGTAACAATCGGTACTATTTTTGTGGTGGACCGCGACCTTCATATTTTGGGGTTGGATCTAATTGAGTCATTCCAACTGGATGCAGTACCCGAGCAGGAACGAATATCTCGATACCTTAAATTGGTATGGATGGGCCTGACATAAGAGGTAAAATTCCAAAAAATAATACCAAAAAAATGTTCCAACAATACCATTCCAATACCAAATTCTGATAATGCAATACCAAAACAATACCACCCAGGTATTTTTTGGTATCCAAATATCAATTTTTGGTATTTCCAAAGTATTTTGCATGTTATTTTTTGGTATTATTCTTTGCTACTTTACCTCTTATATCATGCTGGTCAATACCAAATTTTGGTATCAGATCAGAATTAGGTATTCATTAGCTATTTTTTCCTGCTCGGGTATCGATTAGTGCGTTGTGTAACAAAGTGTCTGTTTCATCTACGATAGTGGAAAGGCTGAATGCCGAATATCGGGAAGTTTTCAGCACGACATTAGGAAAGTGCATGAAAGCAACCATCAAGCTGGAACTCAAGCTTGATCAGCAACCAGTATTTCGTCCTAAACACCCGGTGGTATACTCTGTGTATCAAACGGTGGACGATGAGCTAGGTCAACTAGAGTGGATGCAAATTATAACGCCAGTGGACTATTCGGAGTGGGCCGCTCCGATCGTGGGCGTCCGGAAAGCAAACGGCAATATCCGGATCTGTGGAGACTATTCCACTGGGTTAAACGAAGCTTTCCAACCGAACCAGTATGCTCTCCCGTTACCGCAGGACATTTTTGTGAAGCTTGCCAACAGTAAACCGGTGCATATACGAAGTAAATCGTCTCGCGCCTGGAGTGAAGTCAACACCTGAGGCATTTCAGATTTTGTGGTTATCTCATATATTTTTATAAAAGTATGTTTTTAATGTACATATGAAGTGATGTATGAAATTTCCATTTACAAAAATTATAAATTGACGCACACATTTTTTCAGAGTTATTATTGAAGACCTAGTTGAACATTTCAATATGCATAGCACAGCGGGGATCATCAAAACATGTTCATGAACCGTCATTAGAGTGTGTAAAATTTGAAGAAAATATTTTCAAATTAGCTTTTTTTTCAGTGGCGCTGGTGGTGTAGTGGTAAGCATGACTACCTCTCACTTCAAAGGGCCTGGCTTCCAACATTTTATAGAAGCTCCTACAGTATTCCTGTGGTTAATGGAACTGTCTTGAAGTTCTTTAATCCTCTGAAGTATGCTAACGGAATTCCTCATTAAATCTCCAAACTTTTTTTTTAACTTATTTGGATTTTCCTGAAGTTTAAAAAAAATTACTACATAGATGTTCTTAGATCTTCTCTTTTGAAATCCCCAAAGTTAGAATCAAGCAAACACAAATTGTAAATGGTAAACCCAACAAAAAGACAATTCTTATTTTTTGTTGTACACTTCGTTATCTGCTTTGCATGTTATCGTGGTAAGCAAAGACGGCAAAGAACTCAACGAAGACGTTAACTGATTGTTGTATTTGATTCACTCCCTGCGCCGCACCGAGTGTACCGCACTTTGTGTGGATCGCTTTTTCAAATATAAGTTGGAAAAGATTTTGCGAAGCAAATGGGAGAACCACTCATTCTAGACTTTCTGTACCTCTTATCTTTCTTAAAGCATTCTAAATTTCCCTGAAAATCGCTGGATCTCCATGAAGTTTTTGGAACTTGCCTAATTTCCTGGCATTCCTCCTGGAATTCATGGAACTTTCCCCAAAGTACTTGAAACTTCTCTAAAGCTAATAAAATTGCCCTTAATTCCTCTAAACTGGTCAGGCGTTATCTACCCTGAAGCTGTCAGAACTTCTTAAAGGTTTTTGCAGTTGTCTGGAACTAATGGAACTGCTAAGTTCTCTGATATATGCTGAATACTAAGTTGCTCTGACGCTAAAGTTTTTGAAGTTGCTCTGACGTTTACAGAACTTTCCTCACATTGGTTTCACATGCTCTTGATGTTCCGCTAATTTCCTGATGCTCTCGGAACTCTGTTGATGTTTTCGAAAATTTGTTGAGGTTCTCGGAACTACTTTAAAGATCCTGCAATTTACTTGAAGATAATGGAACTTTCCTTAATGTTCCCTAATACTCTTGGAGCTATCTTGAAGCTCTCGAAATTGTTCTGAGAAGACATAATTGAAACTATCTTCAGAGTTGGGAGGAAATGCCATGTCACCATGAAACATGAGTGCAATAATAGTATAGCATTTCCTCCCAGTTCTAAAAATTATAAACTTCACGTACGAAGTAGCAACATACTTTGATGGAATGTAATTGAGTTATTACAGAAGTCGTCAACAAAGTTCATGATGATACAACACGCAACACTATCCTACTGCTACTCTCTGAGATGACTACGTTGGTCATGACTAGAGAAGCAAAACAATACTTGTGTAAAGATTAGTTGCATTATAACACACCATGGCCTGGAAATGCTTCCTGCAGAAAAAATCCGGTAATCCTGCAGATGCATGTTTACCGTATCAAATTCCAGAACCGACCGGTATATTAGTTCTCTTCCGGTAAAAGACGTGACGTGACGGACGAGCACAAGAACGTGTATCTGACCAAGCATCCTGCTAGCGTTATGGTGTTTGGATTATAGATACTATAGATTCCATAGATAAGCGGAGGCTCAAAATGTTGTTTTGGCAACCATGAAAAATAAACGATCTTACTGGTATCCGTGAAAAAAGTTCATGCCATCATAGAGCTCTTCGTTGTGCAATTTTGTTATGTTTCGTGCGTAAAAGTTCAAAATGAAATGCAAAGCAAATCTTTGCAACAATGTATCGAGGAATGGTTTGCTTTATCTTTCCTTCTTCCGTTGTCCACGAAATAAAACGGAATGTGGAGTATGGAAAGCGTTTTGTGCTCATAATATTACAATTCTTCTCCCTCAAACAACACCATGTTGACGTCATGCTCGTTTGGCTACACCAACTGACAGTTCGTTTGGCTACATTATACTTTTCCTCCGCTTATCTATGGAATCTATAGTATCTATAGTTTGGATTGGTGGTTTCCGATGGCAAAAAAAATGCACCCAGTGTTCATTCCAGAAGGCGACACGGAGGTCTACATCGTGATTTTAAGTAAGGATGTTCTTCTGTGGATCAAAGAACAGTACGATCCAAATGTTGTATTTCAACCAGATAAGGCTCCGTGCTACACCTCGAACCGCACTCAGAAGTGGTTGCAGGAACATCTTCCGTTCTGGGCGAAGGATATGTGGTCGCCATCCAGCCCCGATCCTAATCCGCTGGATTACTCAACATAGCGCGTCATGAAGGCCAAGGCTTGTTCTAAACGCCACCCGACTACAGCAAGCCTCAGACAAACATTGACCCGTACCTGGAGAGAACTGGATCCAGACTACATTATTAGAACCTGCCGTGCATTTCGGAAACGTGTGGAGGCCGTAATTGCAGCAAGTAGAAACTCGATCGAAGATTAACATAGTTCAAGACTCTGAGAAACATCCCCCGTTGAATAAATAAAGAAAAACGAAAACGAAATTTTTGATTTTTTTTTAAATTTTGCATTGCTCAATTGTGCACACTACGAAAAATTCATGTAAAATTCTGTGCTCTGAGACCGACACATGCAAGCGGCGCAAATGACATAAGAAAGAAACGTGAAAATTAATTCAATCCAGCGTACTTTTCGTCGAGTTGCGTATTTTTCGGTTTGTGAACACTTAATTTTACATGACATGTTTGTTTACGTTCCATAATTTACGTCAAAGATGGATTACGTCTCATGTAAAAATAGTTATTTCTAAGTGTGTGCAAACATTATCATGCATATATTATGCATATATCATGGGTATGCGGTAGATGTTGGTTTGCGTGTTTTCATCCAACGCTGCAGTTCAACGTTTTCACGTCACAAACCGTTTGGCGCTGTTATCTGTCTCTATAAATTCCAAAGAGTGGAGGGGGTCTGATTTGATGTAAAGAAACGGGTTGGATGACATTTCCTCTCGAAATCGCCTAGCGCGCTCTACATTGATGGTGCATTAAATGATCCTATTAACACAAACGAAGTGACAGACGACTAACTGGCGAAGCTAATTGGCAAGTAATATTCCATTGTAAGTGTTTTTTTGCTTATAAATTGTTAGGATTATGCTAGATGAATCTTTTTTTCGTTTCATGGCTGATGACGAGGATTGCTTCAAATTATGGATATCCAATCAGCTCTAATTATTTGTTATTTTTCTCCGGTTATATTTGACATTTGTTTTCACGATTATTTTAAGCTATCCAAATTTATCTAAATTGGCTTTTCTTCATCATACACACATTCATTGAGACTACAATTTGTCAGATGAATAATGATAATAAATAAATAAAATTAAGAAATCACTGCCTTCAGACGTCAATAACGTAGCATCCCAACGTCTATAACCTTCTGGAATGAGTCATACAGACTGTAAAGCTTCGAAGAAGGATTTAAATCAAGATCCCGGGATTTCCTGGGATGAACCGAAGATTAAAGCTTTTATCTTGAGGGCCAAATCTTGTGTGCTGACATTTCATTATGTTGTCCCCAGCTCTCTCCGATTGAGAGATTTTGAACATTCGTGAAAGGGAATCTGCAGATGAAGAGAAAAAACATCAACCAGATGAAATCATCATGGCATTATTATAATTTTCAAGACGGTGGCAGAGGATGATGTGCGCCGGTTGATGAGCCGGATTCCGAGACAGGGAATATCTATCACCATGATTATTGTTTAACATTCTTGCGTTGCTCCATTTCTTCAAGTCTCTATTTTGGTGTGATCCTATGCGATACTGTTCGTACATCTAAAAGAATACTCAAAATATCAAATTCCAATACCCACGGTCTCTCTGTATTTACCCATAAATGAACCACACAAAACATCAGCTTACACAAGAACGCCAGTCAAAGTGAAATCGAGATAACTTTTGGACCGTAAAATCCGGCCCAATTATGGGGCACAATTACCATCAACATTATCATCGTCATCATCATCGTTGTCGTCGTCACCAAATTTGTGGTGTAGAATCATTACCATTTCAAAGGCTAATCGACTTTGGTTTGAGCAAACAGGGATCAACTTTTAGGGACTGCCGATGTAATTGGGTGGCTGAAGAGCTTTTTCTCCCTGAACAAAGATGGTGGTCACTGTGTAGTGGTGTTGTGGGAGGAAGCGTTCCCTTGTTCGTAGTTGGGTTTTACGCTGTTCTGTGGTTATTGGTGTGTCCTTGTTGAGAGGCATACCTGGGCCAGAGATGTCCCAGCCGAGTGCAGGAATCAATAAAGCAATTTTCACGCGAACGAATAGCGTTTTTTTTATCAGCGTGGATCGTTATCTGAAACGAGTGGTCCTGTCCGGGATAGCAGATCCTCTCGTTTCAGTAGCGCTCCGTCTCGGTACTGTCCGCGAGTGAGGATGGACTTTGGCTGTGGAAAAACAGAGAGAAAGAAAATAAAAATGCAGAAAAGGGAAAATGTAAAATTAATTAAAATAAATAAATCCTTTGCCCGACGACCGCCTCGAGTCGTCCATGGGGTTTGGCTGATAAGCGGTCATGCACAAATTACGGAACAGTCCATCCGTGTGTTTGGGTTGCAATTGGTTAATTGAGGTTTGAGATGCATTGGAGAAGATGGAAAATCATTACGTAATGATCGCATAGCCCTAAAAGGAGCGGCTGGTTAGGTGGAATGGTAATTACAGTTACGTTTGTATGTGGTCGGGTGAAGTATTGACTAGATGTTTGTTCATGCTGTGCGCTATGCAGGTAACAAAAAAGGCAGCGGTAGAAAAATCAGTGAGTTTTCGAGGAAGGCTACAAGCTTGGGGCATTCGGAAGGAGCTGTAGTACTTGGAAATTGAAATTTTTAACAGGTTGTTCTGGTTTTTGAATGAGCAGGGTGTAGTTCTAATTGTTGGCCTACTTAACACAACCCGCACTTTACCTCTTTTTTTCGAGCGGATTTTTACACACAATGGAATGTTTCTACTACAGATGACTTTTAATTTTATTTACCTTTCCATATGGGGCTGTTCATTAACTACGTAGACAGTATTTTTAATTATTGGCCCCCCTCCCCCTACGTAGACAATTGTCCATACAAAATTTTTTTTTTTAGGGCCGTGGATAATTGCCAACCCCCCAAATTGTCTACGTAGCTTATGGACAGTACCTGTGTACCGTTGGATTTGACGAAGAGTCACAGATTGTTAATATTTGGTTGAAAATACTTCTTCTTTTTCTTCTTTATTTTATTAAACGTCGGTCTCTGTTCCGCATTCTAATGCCAATCACTGACGGACATCGATTGCCATTCATTGACGGCAATCGAAAGTGCGGGGAAAGCACACTTGCGTAAGATATCGCACTCATTCAACACACATGAACCGGGACCAACGGCTTTACTTCCCTTTCGGTTGAAAATACAACACTGCTTCTTGATTCCAAACTTGGCTAAAGCTGGGTTTAGACAGGGCAACTGACTTGAACGCGAATTGAACGTGCAAACCATGCCATTCAACTGACTTGATCAACTCACTTGAATTGAAAAAAGTTTAACCAGGCTCAACTTTTCAAGCCAATTAAATTCAACTGAGTTGATCATTTCAGGCATAACATTTGATAACGGCACAAAAGCATTTGTAAACAAACTTTCTAAGCCCCTTTACACGCGAACCAAAGTATGTCCACGCAAACCAATACCACTTTCGGAAAGCTGATAATTGCCCCTATTCGATGATGTTGTTGGTTTGTGTAGGCGTACTTTGGTTCGCGTGTAAAGGGCCTTAGAAAGTTTGTTTACAAATGCTTTTGTGCCGTTATCAAATGTTATGCCTGATTTGACTTGCCTAGTCTAAACCCAGCTTAAAGGCTTTGTGTTGACGTTTTTGAGCTAAAGTATCGTACCAAAAGTTTGATTAAATCATTAACGCAGACATCATAGAAAAATGCATTCTGGTCGATAAGCCAAAAATGGGCGATTAGGCCGAAGTAAATTTTTACCCCATTGCCATGCCGTGAGAGAAAATAAACAATACTAGCTAGCATTGCGAAAAAATGGTGCTGATAGCTAACTCCATATTCGCTGAAGCAGTCTGAATCTGTCAAAATGGGGATGATGACGATGACGATGTCATTTTCCCAACAGTTTGTGGTGTGCTGTTTTTTCTGCACATTTTAGTATGGCTACATGAAAAAGCAAGTTGAACCTTGAGCTACTAATTTACCAGATAATTAAGAGCGGTTGAATCAAAGTACTGCATAATTGTTTGTTTGGTTGTAGACAAAACATTGGAATTAAATGGAAGTGTTTCTCACTAATTTATGACCACTGCAGTACGATGATAACATTCGATTATTAAATTCCTGGATGTATCTTTATGAATTTATATTCTTCATCGTAAATTGGAAGTTGCAAAAAGGTCAAACGGTATTTAAGCCAACCAACCCAGCAATATAGAGTTCCACACAAACATTCCTAGGATTCTGTCTACTGTTTCCGGATGTTGGGGAATTTACGTATTCTTGGTAATCTAAGCAGCGTCGGCGGTTCTATGGTATTTTTCTCGACGAAACGCACATATATGCAGTTTTTGTTTGTGTACATTCATCTGCTGCCTGTGGCTCTATCGATTCCAAATTGATTTTTTTTCCCTCTGTTCGGGACCTAACACTACTGCGACCAGTAAATTGATCTATTGTATCCCGTTCGATTATTTTACAATTGCCGTTCTTGCATTTATCGCAAGGATCCGACTCTAATTGAAAGGTCCCGCTATTTATACCCTTCGGAGTGTTGAAACACCTTCCAAAGGCGCGCCCCTTTGTCAGTCAAAATTGGATTCCTTAGCAACAAAATTAACGTATGATACCGATAATGACCATGCATTAGAACCCAAGTAACATTTAACGTTTTATGAAGTACTACAAGGATTCTATAAAACAACATTCATAAAACCCTGGTCAAGATAGCTTTGCCTTTATTACATCCACCAAAACCTCATTAAAACTAGAATCTGTCTAGTTGGCCCACCCAGAAGAAGGTTCTAAAGAGTGTATTATCGAGACATTTCAAGAATGACTGTATTAAAAGTACAATAAAAGCCATTTGGCATCAATACCTGTGCCATTTGCTTTTGACGCTTGTTAAGTGCACTAAAAATAAAGCATCAATCAAGATAAAAAGGGATACATACTGTCAAAAATCCTCATAAATTCCCTCATCATTAAAGTGAAAGAATTACTAAAATTATCGAATCTCATATTGTGGTCAGATAAAATCTAATGTGAAATGTGCTTCGGAAGATTGAAAAAAATAGGTCTGCCTTTGGAAAACGTTGATTTGGCTAGTTATTTTTAATTGAGGATACAACATTTAGTTATTTGTTATGTTATTAATTGCTCCCAGCCGAGACAATTTGATGATTTTTGTAATCTCTTTTACTTCTCATTGATAATTTGAAGAGAATAAAGTTATTTTAAATGAAAAACATCTTGAAAAACGAAGATTGTAAAAAAGCTAATAGAATAATAACAATATGGCGATAGCTTAAACATTAATTTTCCATAAGCCATTTATGAAAAAACTGTTTTGCTTTCATGAAATCGCTTACAAATGCAAAAAATTTTAATGCGGCTTTTATGAAGATAATTTGCAGACTGAATTGTTTTTATCTGAAGCCATTTTGCTTGATCCTATTCCGATTAGTTTTATCGCGGCATTAATGGTGGCATAGTTGCCTGGAAAAAGTTAAACGTCAACATTTGTTTATCTTTCGATAGTTTTGTGTGATCATTGCAATGAGGTTCTACTGCAGCGTTGAATCAACAAGTTGCGTGACATCCTCGGTAAGGATGATTTCATCAATTTGAAGCAGTTAATCAGGAACCTACATAACTTGGAATAGGTAGAAGCACAATCGGTCCCGAAAAGTTTTCCTTCTTCCGGATGATGCGATGAAGTTGCTTGCTTGGAATTTTTGGAACAGTTAACCCTTCCGCTGAATAAAACCGTTGCTATGGTTCGGAAGGCAGCCAATTTCTAGCTGACGGACAGCTTCTGAAGTTTCCTGTCAGCAGTTTTCCGCAGTCCCAGTTTGGCACTGATGCTATTCGGATTATCATCGCAACGTTATTTCTGGAGAAGACTGCCATTGGCAAAATGCTGTGAATTTGAACGTCTAATTTGACGACTTCCAGTGCTTCGTAAACCGCATTTACTTCGCTCCTGTCAGTTGGCTGTTCTGTTGTTGTTGACCAATTTTGTCGGAGCTGCCCTTCAAGAAAGTTCTAAAATTGGATTCCTTTTCTCTTCCGTCGACAGAATTGCTAGAATTATTACTCGATTATCCTTTGGCATTTCCTTGTGACTCTGCGTTTGAAAGCCCCACTCAATTATGTTTTTCTCTGCCTCTAGGGGGATCCATCTTTTTAGTTTTATTTGTAAACAGTGGGAGGTTTTGTGATACACTTCATTCACCCCAAAAACCCATCAATGTATGCTTTTTTATCCCGTTTGAAACCGAACGGTTTTATAATTGCTTTTATAATGATTAAACACCTTTATGGAGTATTTTGTCGTGACATCAATAAAACAAATACCAATTGATTTACTGAACAGTTTTATAGAGGGATCGAGTGCTGCATTAAATTCATTTTTAAAACCAGACACTTTCTGATTTTTTCGTCAGGCTTTAAAAGGTTTTTAAAACAGCATAAAGATGAACTACTAATCAAGAATGTTTTTCACTTTTAAATGCTGTATTTAAACTAAAAAGATTGCTTATTGCCGTTATAAAACCAAAATAAATCAGAGTGAAAGCCAAAAGGCTGTTCAATTGTTACTTGGGTAGCCTTAACCACTACAAACTAGGAAACAACGAATAGAAGATTAGGAATCACATAGATGAAGACAACTAACTCATTTTTTTTCCTTGTTTCAAGATCATCCTCGGTACACAAAGCCGAGTCTTGTCACTATCAACAAGGCATAAAAAGTAACAAGGACTAAGATGTGCTCCTTGGATTACTGAAAAATCCTGTTCCCCTAGTTTGAAGTAGTCAGGACTAGGAATCAGTGGTAGATCTTACATCCCGTAACGTACCACGAAAAGGTTATCTACCCACGTTACGGGGCTTCCAAATTGATAGAATCATTTTAGGAAAAACCTGGAAAAATGCGTTTTCTCTGTCGTAAAAACCTAATCAGACTGAAGCTGAAAGACAAAGGAATCGTTGAAGAACATTCAGCGAAGTGTTTGGTGAGAAAATGCATTGAAATTATCGTATAAATTTTGGTTGCACAAATCAGTCAATAGGTTCCGAACTCGACGTTAATATGTGTTCAAAATTAGGGTAATGTACACAGTTCGAAAAAGTAGTGTAAATTTCTGTTCAATATGATGCACATAAATGGAGCGTCACATA